TATAACACACAATTACAGCACCCTTCCCAAGTCACTATTTCTCTGACAGCTTCTGTCACAGACTGAAGAGCACAGAAGCAATCTGGGTCACAAAATCACATTCACATGTTGAGAGTAAATTACTGACCTGCTTAGTACTGCCACCACACCACCTCTTGTCTGCAGAGGAAGGGTTTTACAGTAAGTAAAGCAGTGAATCCCTCTTGTAAATACATCCTTTAACCTTTGTTAAACTTACTACATTTTAATTAAAGTCACAGGACTCTGTTTAGATAAATTGAAAACTACAGGCTGGCAGTCAGAATATGTTATTCATAACAACTCAGATGTCTTGGAGTCCCACATTTGGATTCTGTTGCTTTAATTTATTTTTCCAATTAAAAACCTCTCCCTGCTCATGCTTTTTTTTAATTCCCTAATGTCCTGTTCTATCAGGAGAAACATAAAAGAAACAGACAACACAGTTTTTCAATTGGAGACTACTTTCCAGCCTGCTCCAGTTTTATAATCTTTTATCTTATGCTCATACCAAGCCCCTCCATAAAACAGCTGAAAGTACCCATCAGAACCACAGCCTGGATTCGCAGTTAAAGGCGCTCCAGCATGTATTTTCACTGGAAAGAATTCCTTTTTGCAGCAAAGTGCCTTTCTCCTTTTTGTGCCTGCAGAGTTCAGGTAAAGGAATACTGATACCATCTGAAGAGGAAAGGACCTTTGTAGCAATATGGTTGATGAGAATGAAAACAATAAAAATTGATGAGAAGCTCCCCATGACCTGGCAGCATGTGCTTGAGCCCAGGACCCCACCGTGTGCTGGGCTGCATCCCCAGAGCATCAGCAGCAGGTCGAGGGAGGAGATTCTGCCCCTCTACTGTGCTCTGGGGAGATCTCCCCCTGCAGTCCTGTGTCCAGCTCTGAGGCAACAACACAAGAGGGACATGGAGCTGTTGGAGCGAGTCCAGAGGAAGGGATGGAGATGCTGCAAGGGCTGGAGCAGCTCTGCTCTGGAGACAGGCTGAGAGAGCTGGGCTTGTTCAGCCTGGAAAAGAGAAGCATCTGGGGAGACTTTAGAGCGGCTTCCAATACCTGAAGGGGCTACAAGAAACCTGGAGAGAGGCTTTGGACAAGGACAGGACAAGAGGGAATGGCTTTAACCTGACAGAGAGGAGATTGAGATGAGACATTAGGAGGAAGTTTTTCCCTGTGAGGGTGCTGAGGCGCTGGCACAGGTTGCCCAGAGAAGCTGTGGCTGGCCCAACCCCCGGCGG